AAACTTGGTCCACTTTGTAATAAACCATTTCCTCTTTCAAAACGAGTATTGGTGCAAAACTATTCATATCGAAATGAGTTTAATTTGAAACACAATGAGCGTGCAAGAAAAACTCACCTTAATATGAAAGGTTATTCACTAATACTCGTTTTGAAACAGAGGTAACAGCAATTCGGAAAAGTCTTACTCTGTTATGAATCTTACACAAATGCAATAAAAACTCGGGGGATAGCCTTTCTCTTTTTTGCAAAGTAACACCCTCACGCTTTTGCTCATGTGGACAATTCAACCGGCTTTTCATCTTTCATGAAAACATCCACGCGACGCGCGTGGTAAGGACTGGATACCAGATGTCTAAAGTAACTTGAAAAGGATTGCCTCGGTGATAAGGTCTATATGGTCTAAATTCCGTAGGAATGAGATAAGATGCGTGACACTGCCGATAAATTAGATATAAGACTCAAAATGCATTTAAAAGTGTCAAATTTTCACTAGAAATCTAGATTTTTAGATTTCTATAGCAAATTTGACACTTTTAAATGCCTTTTGAGCCTTACATCTAATCTATATGGTCTATATGGGGGATTAACTCTCTTTTAGTCATCCTCTCTTAAGCCCTAAAAAAGTTGAAGGTGAATTAACATAATAGTGAATATTTTCAATATTTTCGGGCCCTTGCATTTGAATCTTTAAACTCAAATCTCAGGGGCGTAGCTAGCGGGGGGCTGGGGTTCTGGGTGTCCGTGACCCCCCTTTGTAACCCTTTTTCAAGCAAACAAACTACAACAGGTGGCGAAAACGACATGACAATCTGGTGAGTACCCTCGCTTTGNTTTTGTAAGCCTTTTTCAAGCAAACAACCTACAACAGGTGGCGAAAACGACATGACAATCTGGTGAGTACCCTCACTTTGACAGAGTGTGACCACCACTTTGAAAAATCCTGGCTATGCCCTTGAGTCTTTACTAGAAACCACAGAGGCATTGGAAGTAATTATCAACATTTCACTGGGTCTGCGTATGTTACTTGCCCTTATTCTTAAGCGTCAGTGAGATCCATATTAACTTTTCAGAGAATGTACCATGACGTTATCAACTATGCCACTGAAAAAGGACCAACAAGGGTCGTTTGCTTCCCGCACTGCTCTAGATGTTGCTTGTTTCATTTCAGACATGTTAATTTAACTAATTAATATCCACTAATAATTGTCTCTGGTTTTGCAGATAGCCAATGCAAAGGGATTGACGCACAACAAAGAATTGACTGTGGCTATTATAGCATACAACGTGATAAATGCAAGAAAGTCCGAAAATGTTGTTTTGACAACACAGTGCCAGATGTACCACGGTGCTTCTTTGGCAATCAAGGTATGTATGTCTGCATTTATAATTTGTGTCCAAAATAGGTAGGACTTGGAAACTGCACGTGCTCTCCTTTTCATCTGAATGGTGCAGTATCTAACTCGTCCCTATTTTCATCTATCAATGACTTACTTTCCTATATAGCTGACCACATGCAGTATAAGACTTGAAGACCGCACGGACTGTTGATGACTGGGCATAAGCGAGGACACATGCAAAGGCAGAAGCTGTTGCTAGGGCGACACTGACAATGGCTAGGATGCTCCTTATTGTTATTACCCAACTGCTTAGTGTACAGTTCATCACAAAGAGTAATACAGATCAGTTTCTAAAACTGTCAACATATATTATCATTATTTTTCGATTGCCAAGGGCACGGAAAACCCAGTGAACCAATCAAAATCGAGGCAAATGCGATGCAGTTAACATGGAATGAGCGTAAGAAACCACGTGCGAACGAGTCGTGATTGGTTTTGCTTTGAGGTCCGATTGGATGACAAAGTGGCGCGAGTTTTTTTCAAGCCATTCCGTTAAAGTAAAGTACTGTAAAACTAAAGCAAATGTGAGTTACTTTCAACACTCAAGTAAAAAACACACTGATAGCCACCTAAAGGGATAGTTTCACGGTTTGAGGCACTTGCAAGCTGTCACGTGAGCATAAAGTACTTTTTCACTTTTTAACTGAACCATA